TTAAGGTGACCGGCTGCTTTCTGTGCTTCCCTCAGTCTACATGATTGAATTTTCCACAGAGCACCACTATCCCAAACTAGTTCTTAAAGAGAAGAAGTGCGTTGCTGTTTTTGAAGTGTCTGGGTAACAGTGGGATTTCTTGCACAGTTCATTCACCTGTCTTCTATTTGCTCTTCCTTCTGTCTTTATTATTCGGTGCCAGTGGGATGCTTTGGTTATTAAGCCTTATATCTCTCAAGCTCTCTTTCTCTTCTACCACCTCCTGAGATGATTTCTGCCTGAATTCCTATCTTCTTTGATCTTCTTCTGAATGTCCTAGCATAATATCCTCAAGTCCTCATCGCTTCTTTGAAAAGATTTCATACCATCCCCTCTGGTCATCATTTTAACATTTTAATCATCAGTCATTGTGACTTCTTTGATGAAATCCACCTTTCTGCCTACTCAGGTAATCTAAGCCAGAAATTCTCTGTAATCTTCACCTCGTCTTCTGTGCTGATCTTATTCCCAACTTGATACCAGCAATTCTGCTGCAAACAATTTTTCATCGTCTTGCTTTTTTCTGCCTTTGTCTATGAGACTTTAAGATGATCTCTTTCTAGATTGCAATTTTTATCTTTGATCTCAATACCAGTAGCTGATCCAAGTATCTATTAGTGGGACACACCCTAAAATGCCTTTGATAATCTGTCAAAACAGATACTGTTTGAGTCAGTCAAAACCTAACTGGACTTTATCAACCCTAACAGCCTACCTAATTAATATGTAATCATATGGATATAGGTATTATATCACAATATAGATACAGATAATTTTTGTAATGATAACAAATGAAGTTCCTCACTTGTTTTACCGTCTTTCTCTACTTTGGGGGATAATCATCATGAGGCTGTTAGGATCTGTGTAACTTCCCCACGACACTGAGCCAAGGCTCTACTGATGTCCTCATGACTTCTGGAATATTCCCTCTTAGCCCTGATGGCAGCTGAAACTAAGTGATCACTGGTATCGTTATTTGCTTGTCTATAGACCCACTAGACTGTTATTAAAAAATAAATTTCCCTTCTTTGGGAGAATCATCTCCCTAAAAATGTATAACAAAGCCTAAGAAGGTATCAGGCTGATGTATCCAAGAATCTCAAATTCAAAGTCCCCTGTGCAAGTCAGTTTGGGCTGCTGTAATAGAGTATCATCATACCAGGGAGCCACAGAAACTCACTTCCCACAGTTCTGAAAGCTGGATGATCAAGATTGGGGTGCCAAGTTCAGGTTCTAGTGGACACCTTCTTCCACAACACCTTCCTGTTCTGTCCTCACATGGCAGAGTCAGGGAACTAGCTCTCTGACCGCTTCTAAGAAACCTTCCTTCTGGTCCCCTTCAGGAAGGCCCCTCCCTCCTGACCTGATCAGCTCCCAGAGGCCCCATCTCCTTATGCTATCCTATGGGGTCTTTGGTTTTGACCCATGAATTTTGGGAAGACACCAAAATTGTAACACCTCTGTGGAAGTTTACTAACGCAGCTAAGTGGAAGTATGGTGCTTCAATTAAGAAGGTGGATTGGAATGCCAGACTCTCTTCAGTTGAGTCCTAGTTTTATCTTTGTGTGACAGAGAGGGTTGAGTGGGTCACCTCAGTGCTCTCTCGCCCTCTCCTCACCCTCACCAACAATATGGGGATGATAAAATCAGCCTTTCCTTGTAGGGTCCTTTGAGGGATAAAATGAATAAATACATGCACAATACTTTGGAGGGTGCCAGCACACCATTACTGTGAAACATCCATTGTGGTTGTGTTTGTTTGTTTGCTTAAGATGTCAGGGGTGCCTTGTCAGGCCTATCTGCTCTCCCCATCTCATGACAGTCTTAAAAACTTAGTATTCCATGAAAAATACTGTGAGTTTGAGGTGCTGTTGTAGCAACATGTGTGAGACTTGTTTTTCCCTACACAAAGTTGGGAAGGAGTTGCAGGCTTGTGGTGGGGATTTGGGCACACATTTGCATTTTACCCAAGGTCACATTCTTGGAAAGATACTCTTTCCCAACACAGAAAACAGGGATCATCTCTCCATAATCAGTGGGATAATTTGTTGGCTCTTGACTGGGAAATCTGTTCACACACAAAAAGTTAAGAATACAAGTGAATAATGCTGCTAGCAAGCAGCTGAACTTGGGGTTACCACCCTCTTTCAAACAAAAGTTCCCTACTCTTTGGAACCTGCCCTCTCCCACCTACCTGGGGTGTCCCGTCAGGAGAGGTGCTGCAAACAACATGGCTACCTTCTTCCCTTTTCTTCTTCCTGCTGCCTCTGCCCACTCTACTTACCCCCAGTTCCAGAAACATGGGGTCTCCCTGCCAGTCCCCAATGCACACAAGCATGCACACGAACACACACATGCTCTCTGGGCCTCACAGTTAGTATCAGAGAAGCTACTCCATTTTATTGGGGGAAGAAAAATGTTCAAGATTAAGATCAAGATTGACCTGTGTTGGAGTTTTGCTTTATACACAATTTAGAACTGGGTAACTAGCTTAGCATTTATGAGCACATTTTCTTCTCTTCCGTTAAGTGGGCATATCAAGTCTTAATTCAGAGAGTAGCTGGAATAATTAAGTGAGGTACACATACAGCACTTAGCCCAGAGCTGGTTTAGAGTAAGCAACAAATAAATGGAAACAGCTATTACTATTGATGTTTTGAACAAAGTAAGAATTTAGAGAAAAATTTTCCTCATCTCACCCTCTCTCCTTCTGCTTCATTTTGTCTCCTCTACTGGTAAATCAACTTTCAAAGACAGAAAAATAGAAAATACTTTTATTTGAGTGTTTGGAATCCCAAAGAAGGAATTCTAGTCATATAATTCCTGCTCAAGGAATATTTTGGTGAAATAGCAAGAGCAATGAGTACCCTATCCTCTAATTTCTGTCTGGCTGCTAACAATTCAGGTGACTTGGGCCACACCATTGTTCCTAGAGTATCATCAGTTTCTTTTGCAAAAGAAAGAGTTGGGATGAGATAGACATTTAAGTTCGTTTTAGTCCTGACATGCTACGTTTCTCTATGAAAATGTCATTTCTTCTCTGAGTGAATTTTTATTGACATTGAATACTTAGAACCTTAGCTGATTGATACATTTCTTTCTTCTTCTGAGATTTTGTGTAACATTAGCTGGCCTCATTTATTCCACCAGCAAAGGCAGTAAGTTAAAGGTAGGCTGGAGTTGGTTATTGTGGGTATGGATTTCAACACCACCACTTGACTCTGGGCGTTATTTAACTTCTCTGGACCTCAGTTATGTCATCTGTTGAATGGGACAGCCAGAAAGGATAGATGTAAAGATGAAAAGAGACTAAGATGAGATTCTCTAACCCCAAAAGCTTCATTGCCCTGTTGGACTTTAGCAGCTTTATCTCTAACTCAGTGAATTTGTTTCAGGATATCTTTCTCTGTGGGCTTTGAATAGCCCACTCCATCTGACTATTTACTAGCAATGGATCGAAGAAAACCTTTGTGCTTCATTCTGTTTCTTTTTTGGGTATAATTGTATTTTTGACTTTTGGAAAGTTAATTATCAATAGGGACCAAACTATGTCTAAATAGACTTCCCCCAATAGATTGATACTGGCAAGACCTGCTTTACTGGAAATGCTGACTAGGCTACTAAAACAAAACAAAAAAACACCAAACATGGCTTTGGGCCCCTTCTTCCCTAAGTCAGTGAGCTATAACGAGGTTCTAAGGGGGTGAGTGTGGAGGGAAATCTACAGGAGTCTCTAGCCCCTGGAAAAAGAAAAAAGCAAGCAGCAAGATGATCTTAGCAGAAAGAGATACTTTCATTGTGGCCTTTACATTTATGACTTGCAAGATAATGAAGGAAGGTAATTCTGAAAGCTTTATGTCAGTTTTAACGGTCCCTCAAGCACTGAGAAAGATAATAGTCAATGGCTGGTGTCCAGAAGGGTTTTTTTCCTCCTCCTTCCCTGACAGTCATTGACAGGATCATTTTGCATTTGCAGTTGCTATCACTGAAGCACGGAGAAAAGGGAGAAACGGGCCCTAGAAGGCCAGGAGGATGGGGCTACTTCCCTGCAAGGATCTTTATTGTCATCACTGTGGCAATAATAGTTACTATATAATTTTCATTCTGCTTTTCTATTCTACTTTGTGGAGCTTAAGGCTATGGGATTTGGGTCACATAAAATCACAATAGCATAAAATCATGCTTTGTAATCTTGCAAGAGCATTTCATAAAACTGCAGTGAGAACCTATGCAACAAGATAAAAATAATTATCAATGCAGGTTACTTGGCTCACAGTTAATATGGGATGCTAATAGCTTTTCAGTGCCTTTCAGCTATAGTGTCAACTTGACGGCCTTTTTCTCTCTTTCTTGACTACTAGACCACTGCCCCTTTATCTCCCGTAGGGCGTGGCTTATCATTTCATGGGGAGGGGGGAGTGTAAATTCATAGAAAACCAGCTCTCAGTCTTCTGGTAGTTCCTCTTTATTATCCACAACTAAATCAAATGGAGAGCAGCCATGCCTTTTCATTCAAGCCTTTCCTATTTCATCATCATCCCTGATACCTCCCTCCCCATAGAGTAAAATTTCAGCTTACCAACAGGAGCACTTGAGACATAACACTTTCAAAGTATCACTCTGCGAACCCAGTAGCATGGGAAACATGCAGATGATCTTGAAGTTGGAAGAAAAATCTCGAAGAGGCCCTGAATAGAGAAAAAAAGAAACAAAAAGGCAACCCAACCAATGGACACATAGAAAAGCTGTGTAGAGAAAAGAAGTGAAAATGAGAAAGACAAGCAAAAAGAAACAAAATCAGTAAAATGCAGAGACAAATAACAGTAAGCAGTCGAAAGTCACAGGCCAGGGGAACAGTGCAGTAGAAAGCCAGGACGAACAGAGGGGTGGAGACTACAACCCCCAGAATTCCTTGCAGCGCCTCCTCGCTGAGAGTCTCCTCGGCAACTCCAGTAAACAAGATGGCGGCCTCCGGGAGAGATCCCCAGAGACCCGTCTCCTCCTCTCTCCCGGGAGGGTTTGGCAGTTCACTAACTGGAACCCGGTTGAAACTGTTGCTCTCAGAAAAAGAGCGTCAGTCATGGCCTGTTCCCACGGGGCAGAAATCGAAAGGTATCCGCAAAGCCTCCTCCTATTTGCTGCACCAGCTCATTCACGGCTATCAGGAACCAGACACCTGCTGCACACACCACTACGAATACGTGCTGGGTGAGGACGAGTACCTGAAGGAGAACGAAGCAGAATCCGAGGAGTCCTCAAAGACCGAAATGCTGAATCTCAAGGTGCGCCCTTTTCCTCTCTCCTTCTCCACCTCTCCCTCCTCCAGCCATGGGACACTGCTCGTTCAGCTGCAACTTAGTGCATGCATCACCAGGCTGGGCTCAGCCAAAAAAATTTCCTCAGTGCTCACCTCCCTAACCTCTCTTTGACAGCTTTGGGCTTCCCAGTCTTTCCTTCCCATTTCGGTTACCCCGTTTTCTCACCCTTTGCCTGAAAAAGCTCCAATATCTCCTTTATTTTTCATTAACACTTTGGGTTTCTTAGGAGATAAGTCACAGCACGGGGAAGGAGGGGATCTAATTTGTATGGGATTTCCTGACTTTTTCAAAATTATAGTTTGAAAGTATTATGAATAGGCAGGGTTCCTCTTGGCACCCCAGTGACTGGGAAGTATTCTAACAAACCCTCTCTCCCTTCTCCCATCGTTTTGAAAACAATCACTTAAGTAATTTCTCAAAGCCTGAGTAATGTGAAGGTTTTATTGTATTACTTCTGCCAGGGGTATATACTGCATTATATAAGTAACATATAAAGCAGGTAAGGGTGCAAGTAGTTTAGGATGTGGAAAAAGTTCACCTATTATCAGTGGCCACTGGTAATAACTTTCTTTCATGTTCATGTTCGTATAGACTCATTCTTTTTAAACTACCTCCCAATCCATCCCCCCCCAACACACACACACTTTTTTTTTTTTTTTAATGTTGTGGTCATGCTGTTCCTTTTTAGCCCAATGCCTGTTGTCTTGTCGCTTTTCACTTCTTCTATTACTTACTCCTCTTTCTTGGCTTCTGATATATAGTTCGCTCTCTTTCAAAGACTAAGTTGATTAGCTTCCTTTCAATGAACAGGTTTTGCTCTTGGTCTTGGCTTCCAGGAAACTCACAATCAAATATCTTCTGATTTTTCAATCCCCTTTCCTCTTCCCTCATAGTAGAAATTGTTCCAATTTTTGGGTTTTTTTCAGAAATAGCTACAATACAGAGAGTGTTTCCAACATGCCTAATTTTTCTCCTCCCCTCATAATTTGCAATAACTTTTCTACCTCTACGGATAACCACTCACACTTTTTTCTGTAACTGAATTCCCCCTTTTTGAAATGTCCTTATATATATATTTTTTATGTTCAACATTTGGCTCATTTTCCCCCCACTTTCACCCCCATTTTATCTTTTCTTGTCTGTCTCCTTCTATATAGGCCAATTACACACCAGTTTTGCTTTAAGTGGAGGAGAAGGAAATACTTATTTTACTCCTCTTTTGTTGACCCTTCTACCTTTAACAGTTACTGTTGCAAAACTGAAGCAGTGTTTTTACAACTTTGAGATGTTTGTATGGTTTCTACCAGCTTTCACCCCAGAGGAATTCACAAATGAATCACAGTTTACTTTATTATTCTAATTAACTCCTGCTCTTCGGCTGTGGGGTTCATTAGTAGCATAGTTAATCTGTCTGCAGTACACCATTAGCAAACCATAGAGGGGCTTGACTTGAACTTCTTATTCCTCTTTGGTTTGTAGCATGTATGTGCAAAAAGTTAATTTCTTTTATTCTAAATATTAATAATTATGTTATTTTAGTTTGTATGATACTTTTATATAAATCCTAGTGGGCTGAATAAACTGAAAAGTTTTATAAAAAAAAAAACATTAGGGCTTTCATGTTCAGTGATTTATATTTCATGTCCTCGCCTGGTGATGCTATATACTGCCACAGAGGTCACAATAATTATTAAATGCCTCTGGTGCAGTTAGCCTCAGACTTTGGAAGCCCTTAGGAATTTGAGAGGTAGTTTAGACCAGCTGTTCTGAATATGGTCTTCAGAATCAAGGCTTTGTTAGTTGTGATATTTTGAGCAAGTTCCTTCATTTCTCTAAGTTTCACTTGTGATATGAGAATTACAGTAATACCTCTCTCCTAGGAGAGTTCTGAGAATTAAATGGATCGTCTATGTAGAATACTTAGCATATGACATTGTTTACCCTGTTCCTAATATAGTTAAAACTTCCGTGATAGCTGCTAACTACTAAATTAATAAAATAAATCTTTTTTAAAAAAACAAAAACTTCAAGAAGATAGTGATAGTAGTGGTCCCTTGCTTCACTCCCAAAAGGACAATTTAACAATTGACCAGAGTGATAGCACAGAGTCCAAAGCTTGAACCAGGATCAAAGCAGTCCTTCCACCTTCCAGACTGTACCACAGGAGTCACAGGGATAGATTCATTGGACAAAAAGTGGGGCAGAGATCATGGAGTCTTCAAGGACAGCAGGTCCTTGTTTGGGAGGAGAGGTGGTGTACAGGCGCATCATGGCAGTTATCATGGAGTCTTCAAGGACAGCAGGTCCTTGTTTGGGAGGAGAGGTGGTGTACAGGCGCATCATGGCAGTTTTCCCTACAGAGAAGTTGGGGCCAGGTTGTAGAGGGCACTGTGCCTCTGTAGAGACTGCGGACTCAAGTCTCTAAGCACTGGTGACGAGTGGAATTAGATTAGCTGGTGATACTCTGGAGGCAAGGAGATGAGCCAGAAACTGACAGTAACCCTTGGGGGAGGGTCTGGATCAAGGCGGTGGAATGGAAAGGGAATGGAAAGGAAGCTAATGATGGGAATGGAAAGGAAGCTAATGATGATCGCACTGTAGATGTTGAAGATAGGATGATTCATCATCAAATGTTAAGTCTGGGATGACGGCCTGATCTATGCCTGGTTGAGGGGCTATTAGCTACCATCAGCGTGAGGTGTTGGCTATTTGAGTCATGTGACTAGAAAAAAAGGCGATGATCTCAGATATTGGAGAGTGGGTGTCATTAGCCTTGGGGTCTGTGAGGTCACCCAGGGAGGGTCAAGAAGACAGCTGTTGGGGTGCAGGTATTTAGCACAGGCAGGTGCAGAGCCAGGGCACTGGAAATGACTGGAAAGAGAACTGGAAAAGGGAAGAGCTGTGGGATGGGGAAGCCAGGCAGGGAAGAGCCTCCACAGTGCCTTGTGCTGCCGCAGGGCCAAGTGGAAGGGCCTGGAGGGGCCACCTCAGCTCTGCCTATTTGAGGGTCTTCGGGCAGCTTGGCCATGGGATGTGGGGAAATCAGAAGCCTGACTGAAGTGAGGCGAGGGTGAGTGGGAAGTGAGGAGGAGGACTCAAAGGATGGAGAAGCCACTCTGGATGTCTGAAGAGACTCACATATATGTGGAGAAGACAGGGTGGAACATGGCAGTGGAGAGAGGGAGGTCGAAATCCAGGTCAAAGAGGCTAATCTGATGGCCCCCAAGCAAGGCCCCCCAGGAAACAGGGAAGGAGACCAGAGTGTCTTCCACTGGGACCCAAGGAAGAAAGACTAGGACATGTGCAGGCTGTTGAGGGGGTTGACATCTTATCATCTGATTGTTTCAAACTTTGCCCCAAGTAGAAGGGCAGGCACGTGCTGACAGTGTAAGCAGAGCAGAGGCATAGACTTGAGGAAAGAGGTGAAGGTCTGACCAGCTAAGGTTGTAGAGTGGGCTGGAGCTGATGAAGAACGGAGAGTGCCTGACCGCAGAAGGCCAAGCTAAAAATTGATGTTAGAGTTGCCTCTCCCAGGCCACTTACAGCTGAGGGCGGGGCTGGCTTCATGCCTGTCCATATTTGAACACCTACCAGGTAGCATGCATTGTAGACCCTTTCCCACATGGTGCTGAGCTGTTCTGAACCCAATGTAGTTCCTCCAATGAGCCAACCCGCCTTTGCCTTTGGGATTTTGTCTGCGTTGTCCCTTTTGACTGCAGTAACCTGCCTCCCCCTCATTTCTATCCTTTCTCCCCTGCTTTGTCTGCATGACTCGCAACTCTGGCTCTCAATTCAATTGCCCTCTTCCCGTGAAAGCCTTTACTAGCCTACTTCCCACTTCAACTGGCAAAATGGGGTATCCTTCTTTAGGGTCAAGAACCCTGCTTATCTGTATTGGAGTATTCATCAAATGTCTGATGCTCATGTATTTATCTGTCTCCCAGACTGAACTGCAAGCCCCGTGAAGATAGGGACCATGCCTTACTTATCAATTTATCCATGGGGGCTAGGATTCTGGCTGGCATGTGCTGGGCACAGTGTAAAGATTTTTATCCCACATGTATGATGGACATGACATGATCCCTGCCTCGGTGCAGGAGGTAACTATGAACTTGATTCAGGTGTGGGTCTGTATGCTGTAATCAGGGACAAGGGGCCAGAGGCTTGTGGCTAAAGGGACGTTGAAATTGAAAATCCAGCAGGATATACAGTTAGGAAGTGACCCATGGGCCATGAGAAAGGAGTGAATGACAGGATTAGGGAGTTGGTCAGGGAGCAAGTCCAGTGGGTACTAGAAAGGTTGGCAGATAGGCAGCTGTGGGTTCAGAGATGCAGTAAGTGGGCTCTCAGGTCCTGGGGTGGGGCCATTCTAAGGTGACTAAGGCCATGGCTGTGATGGGTGAGATCAATTTTAAGTGTCTGGAGTTGAGAAAGTAAAGGAACGTGCTAGGAGTGGTGAAGCTGTGGATTGGGCGTCTTTAGGGACCCTGGAGCTATGAGGTAAAGATAGGGCTTTGTGGGGGTCAGAAACTGACCAAAGATCAAGCGGGACAGGTGTGATATGAACATGGGAAACTGGCAAGGAAGTGTGAGGGCCGTGGGCTGGACTCGCTCTCCAGATCAGGGAAGATGCTGACAGCATTGCTGGTTTTCCATCTGTCAAGGCCTCTGTTGAAAAAGACCATCCGCCTGCTCTTTGTAAAGAATATAGTGTCTCCTCACCTCTAGGAAATGGGGTGGGAGTTATTCAGTTAAACTTCAGAAACTTTAAGTGGAATGTGGTTGCAAAGCAAGATAGCACATTCATGCCTCTATTCCTCCCCAGGTCTGATGTTAGAAAAGGAGCCTTTATTTTGAAAAGTAGATCTCTCCCCCATTCTGGGAACAGCTGTATTTGTATGGATTGATGAAGCATGGATGTGAAATTTTTGATTGCATCAATTAGTAATAGCTATCATTTCCTGGGGACATTGCTGGCTTCTAGGCACACTACTATCAACGAGCTCTAGAAAGTCTATTTTTTTTCCATTCTTCCAAAACATTCAGAGAAGGTAATGACATTTCCTGTTTATGCATGGCTACTGCGACTCAGAGAAAATGATCTCCTCAAAATCATACATTCAACATGGCAGGTCTGGGGTTCAAACCAAAGCTTCTCAGCCCCAGAGTCTGTGCTAGCTTCATGTGAGTTGTATTTGCTTCCCTGGGTCAGTGGGAATCGGGGGGGCATGAAACTCTTCACAGTGGCACAAACCTGCAGACATCTCCATGTCTTCAGTACCAGCAGTCTGAGCAGCAGCAATGGAGCCTCAGGGAGTGAACTGAAAGCAGCACAAACATAGCAGTGACAAACATAGCATAGCCCCCGGCCCCTAGCTCCATTTTCTTTACCCTCTGTCATCACTGAGGAGATGTTTTGGCCAACCACTGGCCCACGGAGGTCTCCAGACCAAGGGCCATTTCCCAGCAGAAATGACTCTTACCCTTTCAATAAATCTTGCAGATAGTGTGAATGCAGTGAAACTGGCCAACAGGAAGCCAACTGTGGACCTGTTTTCTCCACAGAATGCCAGGTTTGGAGAGGAGATTGCATTAATTTCACCCATCAATTTGAGTACCTAGAATTTCCCCAGAGTCAAGCAGATTGGGGTTCTACTTCACATCGCTGATGCTTCCTCCGTAACCACACTCATTGCACTTTGCATACCCCCCAGAAATTCAGCGGCAACTAACACTGATTTGATAAAGATTTGATTGTACCTAACAAATACATGTTCTCCATGCAGAATTTTCTTTGTGTTGATCAATTTTGGAGAACTCAGCTCCGGGATATGAACTAGATAAATAAGTGCTGAATAAGAGGAAGTAGATTGTTTCTTTTCTAATGGACATCCTCTCTTCTTACCCCCGCCCCCATATTACTTATTTTTGGCAGGCGGATTTTGATGGGATCCTGAGAGAGGAGGTGGTGGCCAAGGCACTCCACCAGTTGGGACGCTCAGGCTCTGGGACGGAGCAAGTCTACCTCAATCTGACTTTACCAGTGAGTATGACAAGCACCACCCACTGCTAGCACCATAGCTATGGTACAAGGCCATTTTCCTGTACTCCCAGCTCTGGTGGTGCCAAATCCCATATTCATGCATTTGATAGAAACTGACACTCAGTGTTTTATGTAAATGTTCCACGTCAACCATCCTGGTCAGCCCAATAACCAACCCCCACATACCTTTCTTTTGTTTCCCTGCACAATCTAGATCTTTCATCTTAAGCCATCTATATTATACCACTCAATGCTCTTTGAAGGTTGACTTTGACTCTATAAAACCAATCAGAACTCTTTAAGAATTGTCTCGGGCCTTCCCTGGTGGCTCACTGGGTTAAAGCACAGCACTATGGAGCTATCACAGCCACTGCAGCACGATTTGGCTTCCCAGCCAGGGAGGTGACTTTAAGCCATCACTCACATTCCAAAATCTACCAGTTATTTTTTTAAAATGTATTATTATTCATCAGTTTTTAAGATTTTGATACTAGTGGAGAATCAGGCCTCTAATTTTATAAAAGAACCGACAAGTTCAGAGTACCCAAGAGTTGTTCAGCTTTTCCTTTTATTTCTCTGTAGCCCTAGAAAAGTAATTTAACTCTTTTTGCTTGTATTATATGCTTATATTATCAAAAACTTAAATATCCCTTTGCAAATACAGGCTAAGAAAAAAACAGAAACCAACACTGAAATTTGCTAGAGCACCATAACTTGGCTAAAGCACAGCAATCACAGCAAGGCTGTTGTGTTGTGGAATTGAGCTAGAACTAACAGAGGAAGGTTCTGCTCTTTCTCCCATGCTGCCTCCATGGCATGTCCTCTGAGGTCACATATTAAGGCTTTAATCTCTCACTATTTTCACTTTATACCAGTTTCTGGTTGACTCAGCCAGTCAGGTAATAACACACAGGACGCTCCGGTGTGCCTTGCACTATTAGGTATTGGACTGGTCGATAATTCCAGCAGCTTCTAGGCGCCCACGCAAGTCCCTCTCCATCAATATTCTACTTGTGTATGTAGTGCTGTGCCTTCAATTGATCTGAGAAAAAGAAAGAAAAGCAATCCTTTAAATCTTATTTCAGCTAGATGGACTGGAGCTTAACTTACTTTCCACTGACCTCCTTACATTTGAGATATTCCATGTTGAATCACTGTACCATAATAACCTGCCTGACCAAATATACTTCCTTTGGCTTGCCTGACCAAATATACTTTCTTTGACTTGCCTGGTTTGCTGATTTTTCTCCCCCTTATATATTCAAAATAATATTATTTTTAACTGTCTCTCGTGTCTTATTACATAGCTTCTCTCTTAACAAAGGTATCAGTTTCTTAAGGGCTCAAGGTTGCTCAATTCCATCTCTGTTCTCACCAAGCCAGGTACAGTGTCTTATTCATACAGGTTTCCAAGTACATATTTATTATTGTCCTCATGGTCTTCACTGAAGACTCTTATCATTGTTAGATTTGAACATTACTTACAGTGACACTTCACTGGTTGGGGCTTTCTCTGGCGCTGGCACTGCAACATAAACTAGTATTAGGAGCCTTTAATCCAAGGAACCAAAAATATTGCCTCCCCCCACCCCCAACCTCCCACCCCCAGCCTGTTCCAGCCAGCTCCCTCTCTTCCCTGCCCTGCTCAAACTAGCCTCCAATCCATCTTGAATTCACTGGAAGCAAGATTTTGTAGCTAGACTCTTGAACGAGGATTTACGCAACTGGTACCTGCATCTCATCACTGATTGGGGACATGACCTATGGTGCTTACATACCTCTGTTCCTAGGCTCCTCATCTGTGCCTTGGGGATAATCTACCTGACTGAAGGCAGCACGTCTGCAGGGTTGTTTGATCCCCTGAGGTGCTTCTTTAAGTGTCTTGACAGGGACCTTGATCCAGTGTGGTCAGCATTGCTAGTGATGACCCTCGATTGGGGGTTTCATTTCATTTCATTTCATTTCTAGGCATTTGCTTGTTTTCTTCTGTTTCTCAGAGACTATGGCTGTATTGCTACGATTTTTTTAAATATAAAATTGTTCTAAAGGTCTTTGTAAACAATTCTCCTTTTCATGTGGTGTTCCTTTTTGCGTACATCACTGATTCTCTAAGTTCTGATTTTGTGGGGAGCCATGGTTTCTTGATGGGGTTAGTAATCTGTTTCAAGAACCTATTTGTAATGGGCTTCAGATTCTTCAGAGACAGTAGGTTCTCACTTCCATTCAACTTTTGACAGAAATGCTGGGTTTCTTTCTGTCAACTACTATCTCTAGATGTATTCAAGAAGGTTTGTATTCAACAAACCCAATAAAGCAATATTCAAGTCTTTTCCCTTTTTGTCTTCTTAGGGTTGTGACTTAACTGACGTTAGTATTCTCTCTGGATACGTTCACCTACAGAAGTTGGATCTCTCAGTAAATAAAATTGAAGGTATGTAATTGTTATTCTAATAAACTAATGCATCCCTGAATTATGTCAAGGTTTAAGTTTTGTAGGCTGCTACAGTGTACAAAACTTGACACAAGTGCTCTATTAGATCAATTTACATACTGATCACTACTTGTATGTACTAAATAGGTGCCAGTGACAGATGAATAAAAAGACCCAGGTCTGCAAGCGGTCGGTGTTACCTGAGGTCAGACACGCTCGGGTGTTTGTTTTTTCCTTTTAAGAGATGAACTATAACCTCTTGATCCTTTCTGAGTATTTGAAGATCCCCTTTTCTACCCTCAGTAAAGTCAATGCAGAGAAATTAGCCCTTTTGCCCTTATTGGATTCTTTTATTTTGTCTTTGCATCTGCATTTTAATCCTGGCTTTTGTTCTTTTTGTGTAAGCACCAGGGATGGACAGATTAATTTTCCAACTCTTATTTGCTCTTTTTGTATATCAGTTGATTCTTTCCACTCTCACTCACAATATTGTAGTTCTACAATATTACATTTATTGTGACAGCTTGCTCACAGTTAATGAAGTGAGTCACATTTTCTCCAAAGCTTGGACCCTTTATTTCTAATCTCCTGATTTTGAAGTTAGTTGTTGTTTTTTTTTTTTTTTAAGACTTCCAGGGAAATAGCAAATCTTTATTTCTAACCTGCTTTCTGCACTGATAATCTTTCTACTGCCATGTCCATATGGTCTTCTCTGGCCCATTTTCTGACCCCCCCCCCAACACACACTCCCTTAAATGAATATTAAGAATATTCATTCTTAATATTTTAATTATTGAAATTGTTTTCATTTTGGAAAGCTCCTTATCCCCCTAATTTTATACAACTTAATTTTGGGAAATCACAAACGTGGGCACACACTGAGAGGCTAAGGAATTCTCAGGCCTGTCTGGCCTGCACCTTGGCTTCCTTCCCCAGGGCGTTTTTTTTTTTTTTTTTTTTAAGATTTATTTATTCGTACAGAACTGGGGTACAGGCCAGAGATGCGGAGGGTGAGAGGATTCACCAGAGACAGAG